TGCAACATAAACAATTTCGGACTAGGCCCACTCTGGTCTTCTCCGAGAGGTGCAAGTTGCGACACTCTTCGGTGTATAATCGCGAGGTGCGTGTCGAGGGTCCGTGAAGTGGTTTAGAGACGAGTTTGTTCTAGAATTTGTTAAAGTGCAAAATTCAGACAAAAACTCTATCTTCACGTAAAGCTTTCGCGTTAAATAATCACGTTAATTATCACATTAAATTTTCAATTCAATTAATTATTCTATTTTTCTATTCAATTATATTCAATTTTATTCTTTTAATTTTTAAAGTATAATTTTATTTTATAGTTTAATTGAATTTCACAATTGGTCAGTTCAAAATTCTCATTGGTGGAGCGCTTACATGTGTGTGTGTTCTTCCCAGGAACCAGGCGCAGCTGTTATTTCACATTTTACAAGAGGTTGATTAATTCTAAATTCATACAAATACAGACATTTTGGTGAGTTGTTTCCTTTATTCTTCCAGCTATTTTATGAATTTTTCGGCAAGTAAATCAGTAGTTAATTATTTAACTTTGGGATTTCCCTCACTGGATTATAAATTTATTTTGCATTTAAGTAATTGTTTCTCCTTCAAATCTTCGAATTGCGCGTCTCGGATATTTACAATATTTTTGTTCAATTCATTGTAATTCACATTATATCATATAGGTACGCTTCCATTCTAATCTCTTCATATTTTATAAAATATAATCTTTTGTATCTTTTAATTATTTTGAATTACATTTCTTTTATTGCCTCCGTCATATCCTCTAATCATTGCGATCTTGTGAAAGGGCCCGTATGGGACTAGCGTATCTCCGGATCCACAAAACATTAAGTCCCGTTAACAATTAATATTAATATTGTTAGGGCAAACAAATCTTCGAGGCTTTATACGCGCGCTTCCCGCACGTAACAATTTCAAACTCCGATGATAAATGTATTGATTCAAAGAGAAAGAATTTAATTTTTTTTTGTAGTTCCTATAATTTACGAAGTCACTTGAAAAGGGCTTAGTAATAATCGTTCATAATAATTTGTTATACTTCAATAATGTATATTAATTCATCTTATTTTTTATAAATTTGTATTACGAATAGCATTTTGATATATTTATATCTGACAATCTGCTGTTTGACAAATATTTAATTGTTAAAAAAAAGTAATCAGTGTGAAGGTATTCAACGTAATTAGGGCACTAATTAGACGCACCACCTAAAATTTTATATTTTAATAATCAATTAAATTTTATTTATCTTCGATCATAACAAAAAAATTAAAAGTCAGCTTCAAATGTTCAAGTTTCAGCTATAATTCACAATTCTGTATATACGCATACGTATAATATGCGTATACAATACACATGTATATATAATTGTATGATAAATTACTTTTATCGTATACATATTATACATACATATACCCTACTTAACTGCATGTTGATATTAACCTGATGGTATTCAGGTGCTCTGCTGTTAAATGATAACCCAAAATTATTTTACAAGGATATACGAGGTGTGACACAAAACTAACGAGACTAGGTCTGTAGCTTGAAAAAACAATGGAATTGGCAGCAATTGTTTTTTGTGGCATCATCCCACATACCTCCTCTATCCATGTTGCCAATTTCGATTGAATCGGTCATACCATTTGGACGTATTGCGTTATTTAGTGAACACGTGCAACTGCATTCGGCCGGAAAAATGTCTAACGTAAAAATCGAACAGTATATAAACATCAAGTTTTTTGTAAAATTTGTTGAAATCTTTTGTAACATGTGATGAGACTTGAATTTTTACCTATGACCCAGAATGTAAGCGCCAGTCAATGGAGTGGAAGTCTCCAGGATCCCCAAAACCACGTAAAAGTCGAACAGCATATAAACATCAAGTTTTTTGTAAAATGTGTTGAAATCTTTTGTAACATGTGATGAGACTTGAATTTTTACCTATGACCCAGAATGTAAGCGCCAGCCAATGGAGTAGAAGTCTCCAGGATCCCCAAAACCCAAAAAAGCACGCATGTCAAAATCAAAATTCCACATTAATGGAATTGTAATGGTTGAATGGTTTCCCAGTGGTCAGACTGTTAACCAATACTATTACATTAAAGTCCTAAAAAGATTTAGCGAAAAAATTTGGAAAGAAAGGCCACAGTTATGAAGCGATGGATGGTCGTTGCACCTGGACAATGCATCCTCTCACACGGCACTGTCTGCCAAGTAGTTTCTGACCAGTAAAAATATTACTGTGATGGGGCATCCTCCTTATTCACCTGATTTGGCTCCATGAGACTTTTCTTTATTTCCTAAAATTAAATTTTGCTTAATGGGAACCCATTTCACCTCAGTTAAAGAGGTTCAGACAGAAACAGAGAATCTCCTAAAGGGACTTCCAAAAACCTCGTTCCAGAATTGTTACCAGCAATGGCAGCACCAAATGCAAAAGTGTGCGAATGCTGAAGGGGACTACTTTGAAGGTGATAATGTCATGGAGAACTGATTCTGCAGGTACAATGATTTATTGGACTAGTCTCGTTACTTTTGTGTCACACCTCGTAAGCGAATTTAAGAAACGAATAGGAAATGATAAACAAGTAAACGATCAGCTAAATGAATGTAGCAAAGCATAAATTTACAAATGAATGTAGCAAGGAATTTATCTGAATTTATACCTAATGAGAAATACTTTCAGACGGGGTTGCATGGAAATAACGACATGAACGAACAATACCCATTATTACGTATAATAACTGAAATCGAATAAAATGTTCATTATACAGAGCAATATTATATATCAATTTGTTCTAAATAAAAGTCTGCAACAGTTAAGTTAAAAAGTTACACCTTTGTTTTAATCTTAGGCTCCATTTCTAAAACTACTATACAGCAAGAAAATTTGTTAACGAAAAATTATACCAAAGAATAATTTGTTTATTGTATACAAAATTTTCGAAAATATAATATAAATTTTTAATAGGTGGCATTTAAAACATAACCGTAAAGTGTTTTTAAGAAACCTTTTCGTTTTACAAGTTCCAATGACAGTAGATTAAGAAAAGTTTTTCAAATGAAAAATTATTATTTATGCAGAACTTATAGAATATAAAAATAAAAATTATTGTTTAACAAAAACAGCTATTTAATGTACCAATGTTTAAAAAGTTCTTAACCGCTATAACAGACGAATATTATTTAATGAATAATACTATGATTATTTAATAATGATTATACAAATTATTTATTATAGTTTAATTAAAAAGTATAGTAATACTTAAATGTTTATTTAATTCTTCAATTATTACAATATGTGTTTATAATGTTTCTATGTATTATTCAATTTGTTTAAGTTAAAAATAAAAGTTATTTACATGTAATAGTTAACAAGTTTTTTTTTTTTATTTCAATACTTCCTGTGAAGCTCTTAAATACTTGCGTTACGGTTTTTATATCTTTTTTGAAGTAAACATATAAATAATGTAATGTTATGTTATTAAATAAAACGAGTACTACATAGTTTTATAATATTATTAATTTCATAAAACCTTCTTCAACGATCATTGTAAAATAACATGTTACCGTCGAACTTTCATTGTACAGTCTAAAACATCGGTTGAATGAGAATATTTTTTAAAGAAATTCCCAAAGATGACATTTATCTTCATAAAAATTCTACGGAAACAGATATTTTCTTAAAGGGAAGATATAAGTTCGAACATAATTTTAAAAAAACATGAAAGATAACTTATTTCGATTTACGCTTATCCATATAAATCATTTGCTGTCCAAAACACAATTAAATTAACAAAAGTAACAAAATTATTTTGTTTAGCAATCTGTACTCGAAATTCCAAATTACAATATGAGCAGACTGTCTTCTTAAATGTAATTCAAACAAATCAACAAAACTCACAGTCGTAAAAACGTTAAGATACCATTCAACATCCAAAATCTTCTTCTAATCAAGTTATCAAAACATCCAATATGTATGTAGACCACGTGGCTACGGAATATCCGGCTTTCGGGAGGAAGTAAGGAAGGAAGGAATGAAGGAAGGAGAAGGTGAGAAAAGGAAGAGGGTTGTTCGAGAGATCGAAATGACATTTGTATGCATTGCGGCCCACATTACACTACAGCCAACTCGATCCACCACCTTCTCTCGAGTTCTCTTCGTTTCCTGTGAGTTACTCCGTGATTACTGTTTTCCTATGCCATGGCATGTTGCTTCAGTCGCTCCCAAAGGGAACCATCACGTCGACGACATCGTCGTCATTCTCGAAAGACATCTAGAATACGAGAAGACTGACCTAACACGCGGATCACAATCAACCGACTACGATGCTTGCCACCCCTTCAATCTTCCAAAATTCTTCGTCGTTTGCCTTATCGGATTTATACGCCCAGATTTCTTTATAGAATGCTCATTAATATTATGCGACACTTAATAGCCTTAACTCCCATTAACTCTGTCACTATAGAAGAGTTCAACGCAATACGCAAAAGGAAAACGTTAAAACATAGATACTTTTGGCATCACCTAGAAATGGAAAACTTATGTAGAACTTCCTACGGTATTTTTCAGGGAAGAAAAAATATTCTTACCAATTTTTACTCTATCCCTTATAGGTCCTGAGATATTCGAAAAAAAGGATATTCTTGAAGTTCCTTTGTAAATTGGTATTTGCTTTAAAAACAGAATACCCATATGAATGAAAGTTGGGACTTTTAATTAAATATTGCAACACTGTCATATTCCATTGATTACTAGAAATACATACTACATTTAAATAAATCAAATAACGGGAACGAAAGTTCAAAAGTTGACAGAAATTACATTTTGGACACATTCATAGCTTTAAATACTTTGTATACGTATTAGCAGATACGAGCAAAATGCGCTTAAGAACTTTTTGGCACACATATTGTGGTGTGTGCATGAACTATGTAGTTGTATGAGTGGCATGGGTGCATGATATGAATGAAGCTTGCTTGTAATGAAGTTTGGTATGAAGCTTGCTGGTAATGAAGATTGGTATAAAGCAAACAAGATTGTCTTTTTATGTGATCGATATTGATATCGAAAATTCTAAAAAGAATCTGCTCGGAATCAAAATTTAAACCGAGTCGTAACAGAACATTTGTGCAGACATTTTGTGTGAACATTTAAAATATTATTAATTGCCAGTATAGTTTGGAAGTGTTAGTTCATAGTTGTAGTGATCGATAAAATGTGTTCGGTAATCAAGAATCCAAATGATTTCTGCATTGCAGAATAGAAAGAGAAGTTGCGAGAAGTGGGACTCCCAACATCTGGTGTGAAAGCGGAATTGATTCAGTGTAGGACTGACGCCGATCCAACGGAAGAATAGTTAAAAGTGCATGCAAGTGACGACGTTGAAGAAATCGCGAGTGAAAATGCTTCAGGATCCGATGATATGACACAGGGAAAAACAATTGGGAGAACGAGAGCTTGAATTAGTGCGACAACAAATCGAACTATTTCAAGGAATGCACCGCGTAAATTTTGACCGAGGCAAAGCGGAAGAATCGACAAGAACATCGACAAGACAAGGACGACCGGCACCCGTAAATATATCTGCCATTGCAGATCTATTAAGTAATTTTGACGGAAGTGGTAATAGTTATATTACATGGGAGCGTCAAGTATAAACTTTAAAAACAACGTACCAGTTAATAGACGACATGACAAAGCTTTTAATGGAATCACGCCTTAAAGGGAATGCATTTAAATGGTTACATTCGAGACCTGAGCATATTGCGATGTCAGTAGAAGAATTACTGAGCAATTTGTGTGAAATGTTCTGTCACCCTGAGAACGCACTTGAGATGAGACGACGTTTTGAGGCGCGTGTTTGGAAGAAAGAAGAGAGTTTTAGCGAGTACTTGCATCGGAAAGTTATTTTAGGAAACCGTACGCCAGTTAGTGACACGGAAATCATAGAGTATATTATAGAAGGAATACGTGATCGGGGATTATGAGATCTTGCACGGGTTCAAAAAATTGCAACGAAAGGAGAACTGCTAGCGGCATTTGACAGAATTTCACTTCGAGGAAGATCGTTGCCGTTCATCCCAGCGACTAGGCCAAAGGAAAACAAGTGGTTACCAGCGAAGATGCGAAAATGTGAAGCAGGATAAAAAGGAAGTGCCAAATAATGAATTGCGATGTTACAACTGCGGTGACAAGAATCATCTGGGCGTGAACTATCCGGTTAAAAATAAAGGTCCAAGATGTTTTGCGTGCCGAGAGTTCGGGCATAGGGCCGTAGATTCTAAGAAGGGGTAGGATAAGCAAGTACACGAATGTACAGCAGTTGTCGTTAGGGACAATAAGGTATATAAATCTGTATCTAAATCCATTGACACTTTCGATGAGTCCAGCAACAATTTAATTAATTCCTTAGTAGACTTATAGCATATTAAAAATGATAATGTCAAACAAGAATTAGAAGACATTATATATAATTATGAGCCGAAAGCCATTAAAGAGTCTAATATTAAATTGGAAATAGTATTAAAGGATGATATACCTACGTATCAACCTCTGTGTAGATTAGCGCCGGTTCAGAGAGAAATAGTGAATAAACAAATAGATGAATGGATGCGAGCAGGGATTGTGCGAGAAAATACATCTGAGTATGGTAGTCCGATTGTACTTATAAAGAAATAAAATAATTTTAAGAAAAAAAATACGCCGACTTCGAAATGCACTAAAAAGTATAAAATAATTTCTATTTCCTAATGAAGTAATTTCTATTTCATTCAATCAACCCTTTCGGAGGCGGCGCAAAATTAAAAGACTTTCTTGAACATGTCAACCTTTGGACAGCAGAACATAGGCAAAGCGTGTATAGCTATTTTTTTTTCGGAGACTGTACCAAGCATTGGGAATAATACACCAACCTCAACGTGAACTCATCTTGCTGCATAAGTCGCGTGTCAAAGCGGTAAAGATTAGTTAGTGTTTTGGTACAGTGCATTGTAATTGTCCTAATATTAATAACAATAGTTTTTCGCTAATATCACAAAAACTAAAGTTTTCCGTCAATTATGCATTAGGAAAAACTCGTTCTGAATCATGCCACTAATAACGTCTTAGGAGGACATAAAAATCGTTCGAAGTTGGTTTCAAAAGTTAACAACAATTTTTCGCTAATATCTCGGAAACTAAAGCTTTCCGCGAAATTTGCATAAGGACAAAATTGTTCAGAATCATGCCCCTGACAACATATTAAAAACGCACTAAAATCGAGAAAAGTTTATTTCAAAAGTTGCCGGTTTTTTGCAGTAACAATACTTTGCAATTAAAAAATGAAAAATTTTTTGATAATGGTACCAATGAACGGTACCAATGGGGAGTCAGAACCTACCAGATGCAAAAGGTTTCGTTCCGATCGGTCCACCCAAATGGCGTAATCGGCGAACATACATAGGAAAAAAAAACTGATCGAATTGAGTAACCTTCTCCTTTTTCGAAGTCGGTTAAAAATGCCATTCAGCAGAAACGCCATAGTAGAACGCGTTTGTGTGTAGACTATAGATTGCTCAATAAGAAGATATGCAAAGATCGTTATCCACTATCATTTATAGAAGATCAATTAGATCGTCTACAAGGTGCTACGATATTTAGTACTCTCGATTTAAAAGACGGTTTCTTTCACGTCGCAATAGAGGAAAATAGCCGTAAATATACTGCGTGGATAGTACCTGATGGACATTTTGAATTCTAAAAAACACCCTTCGGTCTTTGTAATTCTTCAGCCGTATTTCAGAAATATATTAATAGCATATTTCGGGATTCAATAAAGACAGATATCGTATTAACAAACATAGACGATTTGATTATTTCTGTAAATGACGAAAGCGAAGCCGCATGGAGATTACGGGAAATTTTGTGTATTGCGAGTGACTACGGACTGCATATAAATTGGAAGGAGTGTCATTTTCTTCAACGTAAAATAGAATATTTAGGTCATGTAATTGAGGAAGGGCACGAACGCCCGTCAAAACATAAAATATTAAGTGTTACGAATTTTCCATTCGTTAAAAATATCAAAGATGTGCAAAGCTTTTTAGGATTAACCGGTTATTTTCGAATGAGAATTTCACAATATTCAACAATTTGTTGAGAAAAGATGCAAAATTTGTGCTAAATGAAAAACAGATACTTGCGTTTCAACAATTAAAAGCAGAGTTGGTTAATGAACCAGTTTTGAAGTTATGTTGTGTAGGTGCGGAAACACAGCTGCATACGTATACGTCGAGCGTTGGTGCAATTTTAATGCAAAAAGACGATGTCGATCAACGTTACCATCCGATATATTACGCGAGCTGAAAAACGTCGGAAGCAGAATCGCGATACATTGGTTATGAATTAGAGATATTAGCTATAGTTAAAGTGTTAAATAAATTTAGAGCTTATCTTCTAGGAATACCATTTAGAATAGTAAATGATTGTCGCGTGTTTACTCTTACCATGAAGAAAAAAAGATTTGTGCAAGATTTTGCGCAATAGTTGCAAGATGGGTATTATTGCTGGAAGATTTTAATTATACCATTGAACATCACCCAGGATGTAGTATGAGACATGTTGATGCGTTAAGCCGAGACCCTATTCCGGTGTGTATGCTTATTAATGAGTGCGAAACAAGTGTATTGGTGAGACTGAAGAAAAGCGCAACGTGAAGACAAAGAGATAACAGAAATAATAGAGTCTGTGAGTAGTAAGCAAAATAGCGATAGCGATTATGTACTAAAAAACGGAATTTGTTTAAGGGGTAACGCCACTCTAGAAGTCAGTTTATTAGATGTGTTTTGAAGATGGTTGGTAAATTTTTATAAACAATTTGCACTAAAAATGGCGGCTGTAAGTGCTAGCAAGCAACAACATTATTTCTTTGAAAGGACTTCATGGCTGGACTGTTTTTTCATTAACGCATGGTCCTAGGTCAAAAAATCCAAAAAATTCTCATATTATATACCAAAATCTATGGAACATCGTACGGAAATTAAAAAATATTAATAATTGTTAATTTAGTGTAGATATGAACAAAAAGTTTCGAAAAACGGCAGAAAATTCAGCATTAAATTGTTAATAAAAAGTTAAGTAGTTAACTAATCAAAAAATCCGTACGATGTTCACTGCGTTATACTATTTTGCACCTCTCCACGAAATTTCAAGTCGATTAGTTAAAAACTTTTCGAGTTATTTGTCCGCCCAGTTCAAATAAAGTGATTTCGAGAAAAACGCGTTTAAAGTTTTGATTACCATTCAGCATAAGAAATTTGTTATATAACTTTAATCAGCTATGCCTGCACCATATATTTGGCTTTCTATATTAACATACTCCACGTCCTTTTCCTTCTTATTGGATCTAACATTCAATCTTGACATTTTTGAAGCTTCATTCAAGGATCGTTCTGAAAACTCTATGCATCGGGCGTCGGCTTGTAGGCAAATATTGTAACAATTTTCTCCGACAGCCATATCCAAGGCTTTTATTAGTTCCATTATAGTGAATAGTCCATCTTTGAATATATAAATAGATATTTTTTCGACGGATTCATAGTGTTAACGGTGTTGTCTAAACCATAATAAATATTCAACTCATCAATGAGCTTTCCTGACAAATTTCCCTTTCCTTCAAGAAACTTTGTCTATTTCTTCAAATTGGGGGTCATTGTTTATTAACCTAGCTGAATCAGGCCTTTTGCCTTTACCCAGGTCCGTTCTCCACGCTGATTATTGTGCGCGTATCCGCAAGTTACGCTGAGCCAACCACAGAGTGGTTGCTGTCCACTTAAAAAAATTCGTGTTTCCGACCTGCCCCCCACTTAAAACTTTTTTCTCATATTCTACACATAATAAAGCATCATTTAAGCAAAAAAAAAAAAAAATTGACTTTTTCAAAATTCTAGAGTGGCGTTACCCCTTAAAGTCGTCGATGACGATGTTCGTATAGTGGTGCCATGTGCAATGCAGAGTCAAATAATAAGACAGTTGCATGAGAACGGACATTTTTCTTCTGGTAAAACCGAAATTCTTGTTACGAAAGACTATTGGTTTAACAGTTGGAGAACTAAAGCAGAAAAAGTGAATTTTTTATCTTTGGTTGTAGTAACTTTATAATAATGACACGTACTCTTTGAATAATAAGACAATACTTATTCAATCTAAACAGAAAAGATGAAAATTAACCTTAGAAAATTTAAAGAAATATTAACAACATATAGGGGGCTAATATGTATTCATAGTGATATATGTCATTTCCACAGACTTTCTTGTAAACTGACGTGTTCCGTTTACAATTATACAAAATTCTACAGAATACACATGTGTAACTCTACTGATGAATTTAGTACGCTAAATAAGAGGAAGATTCACATAAATACTTGTTCCTTTTGCGTCTAAAAAGTCATGTTTGTAAGGACAACATAAAAATGATTGTATATCAAAATTTATATTTCATATGAATTTTTTTTTAGTTTAGTGTTCTGAGTTCTCTTGTGAGGTAATACTCGCGTATTTCCAAATGTCCTATATGTTACAGCTATATGAACATTTCTACAACCTTAATTTATTATATATAACATTATTATATACGATCTAAAAATTAAATTAATTAATTAAGAAGAATTTACACTACTTTATTTAATACTTTAGTGACTGCTCACACACATGCGTATGATGGCCAGGCCAACCGTCAGCATCCGCCTTTACAGCATATGCATGATGAATTGTGAATATAAACAATTGTGGATATTGGCCTCGTATTTCACCGCCACATCTCTGATCTTAGATAATCATTATTTTATTGCCTGCTTTCAATTTTAGACTCTTTCATTTTTAGACTTTACACTGGTATACCACGTAAATCATGGAGCAAATGCAGGAGGCTCTACGTTGGTGTCGTACCCAAAGCTACCGTATTTTACAAATTAAATTGTTTGTATATTATTAAATTTATTATTAAACTGTTATTGTTTTTTATTTATGTATATGTTCGCACATGTTTAATTATTTCGTGAATTCACATCAAGTTTAAAATTAATTCCCCAAAAATGTTGGCGGCCCCTGGCAACGTTTGACTGCGTAGATTTGCGATCATTAAAGTATTAAAAGCAATTAATTGCGACTAGTATAGAAAAATAGCATAAAATAAAATTAATAATTACAATGATGTACATAGGTCATGTTTCACTCAACAATTCAACATATGAACAGCATCAACACGAGATATAAAAAAAGTTTGCCCTATTATTACACATAATGATTTAAAAATAATCGAAATTTTTGCATAAGATATTTATTATCGAATAATAATTCCTCCACGTTTCTAACAAATAAATTTCGTTTCAAGTATAACATGGAATATTTACAAAAAGGTCATCGGTAAGAATTACATTTAGTCTGGTGATCTTGTGTTGGTCTGCTTTATTGACAACTATGATTTTTTGTAATTACCTATATAGAAATAAATGTATTGTTATTTTATTGGTAATCTGAATAAATATAATTCGTACTTTTTTTAAAAAATTGATGATTTGAGAAGTCCATATGTGTTTAGTAATTTGTAGTATTAAAATGTGTGTTCACATTTGTTAACAAAGAACATAATAGAAAATGATCTTTGAAATATTAAATTGAATATTTTTAACTTTCCAATGTGGTGGTTCTGACCAATAGATTGACATCTCTACTGGAATGAAATAAACAGTTGTTAATTTCATCCACAGTTAATGGGGACATGATCGCACATTTATCTTACCTATATTTACAAAAAATGTATTGGCCTTAACCTAATGCTATTCATACGTTGTACTGATGAGTGAAGGATGACCTATAATTAAACTTATATTATTATTTTCTAAATGGTTTGCCCTTGATAAAGCGAAATAAAGTAATGAATAAAATTATAATCTAACTGATTATGAAAATAAATAAGCCTTTTAAAACAAGAAATAAGTTAGCACGAATTATCTAAATTTACATTACTATGATTTGTAGTCCTTTATAATGGATCTGAAAGCAATTATGCCTTATGAAAACTAAATTAATTAGGATATACATAGTACGGACAATTTGTTGAATGTCTACAGCTGCCAATAGTATTGAAAAAATTAAAAAATTATTCGAACGTTTTATACTTAACCCATTCGAGACCGACTGCACACCGTGTGCGCAATTGATTTCCGAGGTTATAAAACCGGTTGCACACCAGGTGTGCAATAGTAGTCATGAGCAATTATCAGTTATTCTGAGTAAAGTAGTAGTAGTAAAGCAGATAGTATCTGTAAAGTACAGAAAGACAAAATTTGGCATTGGTATTTTTATTTTACCTTACATTGCATGTGCTGATTAGCATACGTTCAGCAACTGCGTCTTCGATTAAAAAATGATCGGGCCTTGTAATCAGCGGTGAATTTTAACCCTTAATTGGTCTAGTGGGGTTTAACAGACCCCAGGTACACGTACACGTACACTTTTCTAAACCCCACTAGACCAGTTAAGGGTTAATCGAGACGCGGGTTTATTCGAAAGAAATTAATCTTAAGAATAGTGATTTAACGCAGATCGTCCGTGACGATTGACGTGTGTAATTTTGAGTCCGAAACGGTTGACTCGTATTCGTTCTAAGTAAGTCGAAACGTTGACTTGTAATGAATTCTACAGTTCGAAACAGTTGATATGTAACTCGATTCTAGGTTCGAAAGCGATTGACCTGTGTATGTATTCTGACGTTCTGTCCAACACGACTGACTTTTGCATTAATTCTGACGCCCTGAGCGCACCTTTTTTGAAAGAGGGTGGGAAAAATACCGATGAATGCAGGAGGATCTCGAAGGACGACAACGCCGAGATTTTTCCTTTCAGGTGACACGCATATTGTCCTAAAAAATACTGTTCCGAATCGTGTTGAGTTAATTCGTGCCAAAATAAATTGCGTTGAATTGAGTCGCATTAAAATGAGTCACAACGAATGGTATCATGTCGAATTAAATTACATCGTGTTGAATTGCACTAACTTATATGGTACTGAAATGCGTTGACTATGTCTCATTAAACTGATCGCGTCGAATTGAAATGCACGCATTGGATCTTGCTGAATTGAACCACGATAAGTCTAATAGCACTCGAATCGCATTAAACTGAATCGCGTTGTACTCAATCGCGTTAAATCAAATGGCGCATAATCGAATTGTATAATGGTTAAGAGTGTAAAAATATTACAAACTAATTTTTTTAAAACAATGAGCCAATTCGATTTTTATTACATTATTAACACTAGATTTACGGACGTTTGATGGTCACTTTTATTTAAATTTACCGAAAGTAGAAAAATAAATAAATTGCAAATGATATGTAAACTGCCTAAAACATTGATTCTTTTGCTGAAAGTTGATGAAAGTTGACATTTTTACAAAAATTTCTTAACAAATTCCGTCATCTAAAATAGATCTATTATCCGTCATTTTGATGGGTTCCGTAAATCTAGTGTTAACATGACTTTAACAGTATCGATAAGAACTTCACAATTTTCATTTTTCAATTATTCGGTCACATTAAATTCGTTATTGGTAAATCGTGCTGGGTAAATTCGGAACTCGTATTATCCCTTTTGTCAACGATATGGTGTTCAAACGATTGATGCCGGTGCATATTCTCTAGGGAAAGAGTCGAGAAGTGGTTTGAAGCAACATCGGCATGCTGGGTAGTCGTGTCTAACGCGTTACAAAGCGATCAGTATATCTCTGGCCGCGCGTACGTCCTCTATCTCTCCATCGTGGACAAGGATTACGTAACACAGACGTTTACGTAAGCCAGAGCTACGGCACGATTCTGTCAATACACCGGCTCATCCGTCTTTCACGCGTGTACCATCAACCTGTAAATCGATCGAGAGAACAACCAGTCAACGCAATTACCATCACCATCGTGCCTTACCCAAGGGTTTTCGGAGAAATTGCCACGATAGTTAGCGATCCGAATAGAACAGATGAAAATTACTTGCAAGTCAAGTCGTTTGGAGCGAACACGTGCATCAGTAGGAATGATTTCACGTAAAATATACAGCAATGGAAGGATTTGAAAATTTAAAGTTTGTATAAATGCGAATGGTCAAAACGGGTCATGTACGTTTTGTCAGAGCAGTTTCCTGGTCCCAAGAGAAAGTCTTTGCAGCAAAAATGGCAACGAATAGTCGTCAAGGACCATAATGACATTGGTGTTCTTGTGGCCAATGCTTTGCCAAGAAGACATTCTTCTTCTGTATGTGTTGGTCTTCCGTGGAAACACTCCACAGAATAAACGAAGTATACTACCAAATCAATCCTATTTTACAAATTCACGCCTTGCCTTGATCTGTTGTTTTTTCTCATTTCTTACGTAACTTTAGTCTTTAATTTAGATCACAATAACGTCGATCACATGTTTCAAAGTAAATTGTATATTCTTCAGACAGTAGTCTGAGAAGATCATCTTAGAATAAAATCGCATAAGAGAAAAATAGTAATAAATTATTAATTTATTTGTACTGAACTCTTTATTCTGTACGCATATTGATAAACTTAATTTATTTTTTTCTATTTATTGTTAGTATAGAGTTATCTCTCGAATAATGCGGATGACAGGTTCACGTAATCGAAACTCCGTACCATTTTTAATTTCTCCAAAACTCATGAATATATAACCTGTTGTTGATCAGAAGCTTTATTTTACGTACATTTGTGTATAATTACTTTATTTTTGTAACAAGATATATTATAATAATCACATAAAAATAAGAAATCTTATTAAGATAATTATGAAGAAAAGAAAATAAATAATTATACACTGCAATATCAATTATTTATACATATATTTTACATTTATTTATTAAGCGAAAGTTTATTAGTAATTTAGCTTGTAACAAAATCACAATTTACTATACAGTCTATTGGGTATTTTTGTTCTGAAAATTTATACAAAAACAGTTGTGAGAAAAAAATGTTAATGAAAAGAGAATCGTTATATAACAAATCCGCATAACAAATTCATATATTACGACTGCACAGAGAATTACTTTTTACTTTATTACTATTCATTTATTACTTTATTATAATTGAAATATTCAAATAAAACCTCTGTGTTTTTAAAAAAAAATTTCTAGAATAAATAGTTAAAATTCATGTAAAGTTTTATATTGTTAGCCTGAATTTTAAAACCATTCTACCATTTAATGCTTAAAACTTAACAACTTTGACGGTATGAATTCATAATTTATGTTTAATAAAAGAGCGATGTTTTCAAAGCGAAAGTAATCCTCAACGAACAAAAAGAATTTAGTTCAAACGGCAACTACACGGTCAAGCTATTATTAATCGTAAAATCGCTTGTCAAACGGCTACCAATAACAAAAGCAGGAAAATGAACGAACACTTCTACGTTGGAAGGTTACAATACCAGGATATATGAGTTGAAAATAGACATTGGACGAGGAAAAATTTTTGTTCAATAAAAGTCACACGCGTTGTTTAATCGTTGTATAAAGCGGTCGAATGTTAAACGAAAAACTTATGCATACATATCTACATTGACAGGACAAACAAATAAAATAATTTTAAGAAAAAAAATACGCTGACTTCGAAATGCACTAAAAAGTATAAAATAATTTCATTCTATTTCATAATTCTATTTCATTCAATCATACAATTACATAACAGATATGAATGAAACCTACTTACTCGTTAGGTAGTATATTAAATACATTTCAACCTTTTCGGAGGCGGCGCATAATTAAAAATACCTCAGTAAACGTTGCTGCCAATAACCAGTTGATTGTGGTATGGCGTGTTGGAAATTAATAAATCCTGAGAAAGAATACGAACCATTATAGATATATCTGGTAATATACGTAAATGTAATGACTGCATCTTCATTTCGCATGTGGAAGCCATGGATCTAAGAACCTATAAACGGAGCCCACGACGCGGGAATTACCAAATTTGCAGCAGATGGGCTCTATCTTTATAGAACTGCGGCGATCGTGTCTTTCCGTCACATACTCTATGAATCTAAATAGACTATAGTTACATTCTATATGCACTAACACCTACTTCGCGGCGTGCTGTCGAGTTATATGTATAGAAAAAAAAATAGTTATACAAGCTTTGCCTATGTTCGGCTGTCCAAAGATTGACATGTCCAAGAAAATCTTTTAATTTTGCGCCACCTCCGAAAAGATTGAAATGTATTTAATATACTACCTAACGAGTAAA